ACACACTGGGAGCTACTGGGCACTAACTACTTTGATCCAACTCCCAGTTCCTCCAGATTTCAGTTACCTCTCAGAGAAAAGTGTCGTCAGATCCACGACGGAGTTCATCGCAGAAGCTGGACTCAAAGGTTTGTGACATCTGCAGAGCTCGTTGTGTTTGAAGCTGTAACTCTGTAACATCCTCTCTCTGGGCCCAGGTCCTCAGGCCTCCCATCCAGGCCTGGTTAAGACCGCCCTCACCGCTTTGGCGTCAGTCGGCGCCTCTTTCCAGTATCCGCCCATCAACTGGAGCGCCGCTCTGTCTCCTTTAATGAGGATGAGCTTTGGTAAGAGTTGTCGCTCAGTGCTGTCCGTGAAGCACAGCCACAGATCCTGTTCAGTCTGTGTTGTTGTTGTGTTTTGTAGGAGAGGATGTGCAGCACCAGTGTGTTGTACTGGCAGCCTGTCAGACCCAGTCCTCCCACAGCGCTGCTCTCTTTTTGGGCTCCTGGTTGTCCCCTCCCCTGGTCCACAGTCTCAGCGTAAGTCCAGTTGTGTATTAGCGCTGTGACAGATGATATTCAGTTCTCCATCAGGTGTATAGGCTGGTCCACTTTAATCTGTTGTTTCTGGTGTCCAGCTTATATTTGAACAGCTAACAGGAGCATCTCAGCCTCGCCTCTGAGCTCAGCTGCTTCTCCGTCGTACAGCAGCTGAATAAACGTCTGAATAAACAGCGTTTGGCTTCTGAAGCTGAACAGATGCTCTTTAACCGTGACACACATGCAGTCTGTCTCTGCACTGCTGTAGGAGAGCATGAGTCCAGTACCTGTTACAATGATGAAGGCTTTGAGATCCTCACTGGCTGTCTGTCTCCCCCAGTACCAGACCCGGGCCCACCTCTATGAGACTCTGGGCTCGTGGATGAAGCACGTGACTGAGGACAAGCTCCAGGTGTATGTGGAGAGTTTGGGGCTGCAGCAGTTTCAGGAGGACCTCCGACCCCAGCGCGCGTCCCTGTGTGGCTCTGTGCTGCGGGGCCTGGCTCAGGCCATGGCCCTCCCAAACCCCTCTAGCAGCTGCTGGACCATCCTCTGCTCTGCCACGGAGAAGATCTTCACCTTCCTGCCCGACCGAATCCAGGTGCAGTGGAACTGCTGACTGTTATCACTGACACGTAGAAGCTTTTTCTTTGATGCATGGCTCTGTCCCTGGTTTTACGCTCGGGGGATCCTGATATCCTCCGATGCTCCCGTCCACCCACAGACACGAACAGGAGCATAAACCCATTTCATTCAAAGCAAGACGCTGTGACACATGCTGTAGGTGTGCAGAGCTTCAGAGCTCGGCTGGAAACGAGCTCTTCTCTTCACCGCAGCAGCTTCAGCCCATCGTTAGCTCAGCTGTAAGAACACGGGCCAAACACAGCATCATAATAACAGCAGTGGTAACAGTTACAGTAACAGCTCACTTCAAAGGGAGCTCTGGCCCCTCCCTGTCTGTATCTCACATATCTGTTTCCTGTGCTCAGTTATTATATTAATGACATAAGTAATACATAATTATCTTGATGGATGTTGGATGAGGAGGCCTGATAGAAATGCCAGTCAGGTTTATAACAAGTGCAAAGACATGATGTGCAGCAGGTTCCTGTTAGTGTTCGTTTGATGTCGTCAAACTCAAAGTTAAACTCTTGGATACAAACTGGGTGCTTCAGTGAAACATGCAAACATTTGTACATGTGTTGGTGGGATGGCTGTCTGGGTTTATTAGGACAACATTAAGTTTGCAAACATAAAAACAGGATGCAGTCATGATTACATCCGTAGCAGAACACACAGGACATGTCAGCTGGATAAGCTGAGTGAATGAACACAGAGCGTTCCCTCTGTGTGTGCAGACTAACTGTAGGTGGTCTGATGTAGGACAACAGCTGCTTAATAGGCCAGATGTTTTCAGCTGGAGAAAGGTGAGACGCAGGTCACGATGAAGTCTGGCTGTAGTCAGACAGATGTGTGTGCCAGTTCCAAAGACACTAACGACCTTCATCCCTTCAGAGATGCAGGGTCTGCTCCTCCTCCTCTTCATGAGGAAGCTGTCACGTTTGATGCACCTGGTCAGAGAAGTGTTGACAGTTTGCTGCAGTCCATTTAAAGCTGATTCTGCCCATAGAAGACGACCTCTGGACCATGGTCACATGACCTCTTGATGCAGCTGTAACCAGCACATCTGCTCGCTCTGGCTGACAGTGATTTCTGTGACACAGCTGTTGCTGTTTCTGCCACTCCAGACCTCCTTTTACCTTTGTTTGTACAGGCCGTCACATTGAGACTCACAGGAGAGAGCTGATCTAGACCAGCATGTTCAAAGGACAGTAAAAGAAACAGGAAAACAGTCAAATAGTTGTGTGAGGACCACGGGCAGTTACACTCATTTTAGCCTTTGTCCAGATCCTCTGTAGTCTTCACGTTGAGCAGCATTAATCTCCTCAGTCTGAAGAACAGCACAGTGGTCGTGTTTCATGCTACTTGATGCTAGTGTGGCTACATTTCAGCTTTTGAATGGCTGGAATAAGTTAGTTGATGATATATGTGCGCTGGTGTGTCGCCTACCATTGGCTCCCTGAGTTTAACAGCTGCTAATAGCTGAACCTGCTAGCCTGCTCTGTTCACCTTTCTGTGAAACCAGCTGATCTCCTTCAATCAGTCTTTGTCTGTTTTGAAACCCTGACTTTGTGTGGTCTAACAATTAAAGCCTTTTATTCGTCCTGCTGCTGCTGGGCCCTGCTGGCATCCAGCTTTGCCTCTTTAACACATGAACACAGGTTCAAAGCTGTTTAAATGACACATTTTAACTAAAAAATAACAATTTTTGTGCTTGTGTTTGATTTTTTTGTACATTTGTTTCAGGATAATGAAGTGGATCTGTATGTGGGCGTGGCCAAGTGTCTGTCTGAGATGTCTGACACAGAGATTGAGAGGATCATGAAAGTCTCTGAGGTACAGTGTTCATAACACCAGCAGCAAATGAACAGAGGCACCACGTCCACAGTTTCCATGTGGGCAGAAGTACATTTGGTTTACAGGGTAAAACACATGTTGCTGGTCTCGTAGTGGAAGGAGAAATGGGATTAATTCCAGTCACCTGTAGCTCATATTGCTTTATTATTTATAGCTGTCAGTGTGTGGACAGTAAAACCTGCATTCTTCCCAATGCCCAGCAGGGGGCCCACTCTGAAAGCGTGCATTTCTAAAAGGAGCTCTTTAAGTAAACGTTCAGTTCAGAGGCGGAGCCAGACATTTGAAACACCCGGGGCTTAGCCCAAAGAGTAGTATGCATGTGGGATATTTTTTTTTTTTTGGAGGGGGGGGTAGAAATGACTGAAAGATTAAATTGCTCTGTTTTGAGTTTTGTTCAAAAAAGAATAACTTCATATAGGGAAAAATATATATCACATGTGCAGGACACCTTAAACTAGTTTTTTAATTAAGCAGCAAGTCAGAACAAA